CTTTGCAATTTAGCTTGCAGTAAAGAAACGTGGTGCCTTCCATATGTGTTGGGACTACCAGAATTCCCAGCCACAACAGAGAGATACCAACATGCTGTAAATGTTTTAAGACGAGCAAGAGCTATGAATTCAGCTCATCTGTGGCCAATTTTTGCCGGGTTTCAAAATATGGTAAGCTCAGAATGAAATCTGTCGGTGGGAAATTATAATGTATTTAAGATTATGCATTTCGTATAAACCTAGAAGCAGCTGACTCGGGTAAAAAAGCTCTATCTCATGATGCCAGTGGATGCTAATCCCAACCTAGTTCTGAAAATACAGCGAAAGTGAAAGAATAATATTAGCATTTAACTGTCACATTATCAAGAATGCTACTGAAAAAAAAAAAAAAAAAAAAACCTTTTTGCTTTATTTTAACAGGAAGAATCCCTGCCTCAGGACAGTATTGCAAGATTTCGCTCTTTACTACCAAAAATGTCCTTTCAGCCACTCCAAAATCCACGCAGTTCCCTATCTGTAAATGTGTGTATATGCATACTGCCTTTTCTTAAGTGAAAATAAAGACTTCAATCAAGTCTGACCTTGTATAACTTTATTGAATTTCAAAAAAACAAAACAAAACAAGAATGAAAGATAAACAAGAAATTTTTTTGGAAAAAACAGAATGTCAGGGAGAAAACAAAAGTGCAAAAAAGAAAAAAGAAAGAAAAAAGAATCCAACTGTCTTTAATACAGATATAGATAAAAAATAAATCAGATCCTTCCTCTAAAATTAAATAGTCTACACTGTTTCTATAATCGCATATAATTCTAATCATCAATTTCCAAAATAAAAATTTAGAATAGAATAGAATAGAATAGAATAGAATAGAATAGAATAGAATAGAATAGAATAGAATAACAGAGTTGGAAGGGACCTTGGAGGTCTTCTAGTCTAACCCCCTGGTTAGGTAGGAAACCTTACACTACTTCAGACAAATGGTTATCCAACATCTTCTTAAAAACTTCCAGTGTTGGAGTATTCACAACTTCTGCAGGTAAATTGTTCCACGGATTAATTGTTCTAACTGTCAGGAAGTTTCTCCTTAGTTCTAAGTTGCTTCTCTCCTTGATTAGTTTCCACCCATTGCTTCTTGTTCTACCCTCAGGTGCTTTGGAGAATAGTTTGACTCTCTCTTCTTTGTGGCAACTCCTGAGATATTGGAACACTGCTATCATGTCTCCCCTAGTCCTTCTTTTCATTTAACTAGACATAACCAATTCCTGAAACCTTTCTTCATGTGTTTTATCCTCTAGTCCCCTAATCATCTTTGTTGCTCTTCTCTGCACTCTTTCCAGAGTCTCAACATCTTTTTTACATCGTGGTGATCAAGGGATGCAGTATTCCAAGTGTGGCCTTACCAAGGCATTATAAAGTTGTATTAACTCTTCATGTGATCTTGATTCTATCCCTTTGTTTAAGCAACCTAGAACTGTGTTGGCTTTTTTGGCAGCTGCTGCACACTGCTGGCTCATATATAAATGGTTGTCCACTAGGATTCCAAGATCACTCTCACATTTACTACTATTGAGCAAGGTACCACATCTACTGTACCTGTGCATTTTGTTTTTCTTGCCTAAATGTAGAACCTTACTTTTTTCACCGTTGAATTTCATTTTGTTAGATAGCACCCAATGTTCAAGTCTGTCAAGATCCTTCTGTATCTTAAGCCTATCTTCATTTCTTTCAATTTGTCCTGAAAAATCTAAAATAAAATTGGTTGAAGTCTTTTCTTTAACCAAAGCTGTCAATTTTGCCTTCTCCGCCAATTCCATCAGTTTCATCATCCATGCTTCCCTATATAAAAACAAAGTTCCATAATATCTTTCAATCTGTTTGTACATTAACCCAAAATAAAAAAATATGCAGTACATTCACTTTTATAAAATGTAATTTTTTCCCACTAGCTGTGCATAGAAGATGCAATGACATAATATAGCTTTCCAATTCTAGGTCTTACCTTGTTTTTGTCTCAAATTTGACTTTGTTGACTACATGGAAATGATCCCTAAATTTTACCTGAAATAATAATAAGGTGATTTCCCATTGTCTTCTTTGGTTTTCAAACTCAGAAACATTCAACCAAGTCCTTCTACTTTCTCAGATGCTTTTTTAGGTCAGGCATTACCTCTCAGTGCAACCTTTCTTACAAAGCTGCTGTGAGGATAATAGAAGAGTAAAGCATGTTATGTGCTTTCTTGAGCTCCAGAATGAAAAGTGGAATATAAATAACATTCTGGCACTCAGAATGGCACTCAAATGTAACTCTATGAGAGTTACATTTTATCCAAATCAACCTTTTAACGTTGTCTTTAAAGCTCCCTGGTAAAACCATCATTGTATTTTGAGATAATAAATTCCCAACTTAAGTACATACTATGCAAATAAGTATTTCATGTTGTCAGTACTAACTCTTCCACCTGTCACTTTCATGGATATTCATATTTCTTAGTATTTTCAGTGATGGAGAGTGGTGTAAGAACCACTGTCAGTCATGCATAATTTATTCACTTCAACCATGTTCCCTCTTAATTTGATTTTTTTTAAGTTAAGGTCTTTTTAAGAGAGAAAATTTTGTATATGTGTGTGTAGTAAAAGTAGTAGTAGTAGTAGTAGTAGTAGTAATACGACCTACCCCGAAAGTAAGTCCTAGCTTGATTTTTACACGTGTGCCCAATATAAATCCTATTACCAAAATAAGCCCTAATTAAGACCCCACCCACTCCAGGGTGCATGGGTAAAAATTAAGCTAGGGTGGGATTGGGGGGTGGAACTGCCCTACTACTTACCTTCGGACAGTTGCAGCCAGGCCTCGCACTCCCCGACACCTGCCTTGCCAGCCCATTTTTTCTGCAGCTGGCAAGGCCTGCAAGGCTTTCCTAAAGGCCTCTGCAGCCGATAACAGAGTTCTGTTATCGGCTGCAGAGGCCTTCAGGAAAACCTTGCCAGCCTCAGAAGAAGTTCCTGAAGGCCTCTGACAGCGAAAAGGAGGCCAGTAGCAATGCAAGTGAGATGATTCAGTGGATAACCCCTTTAAAACATTTTTTAAGGCAGGGTCTTATTTCAGGAAAACATGGGTAGTAGTAGTATTTGTCGTTGACATGCTAGTAACCAGAAGACTGAATTCTAGTTTTGCTTCAGGTCCCAAGCTATTTGGTTAACATTTATTTGGTCAGTTACTGGCTGCCAACCCTAGAAATAAAGTAATGGAAGACCACTTTAGAAAAAATTGACAAGAAAGCTACAGAGACTTGTCCTGGCAGTGAAGACTAAATTGTAGACATGTACACTTGCATGCACTTCCATCTTAGATAGTGCTTTACTTTTGAAGTGATGCCACAGATTGTATTAAAGTACATATAAACAGTTCCATGGTTTTATTTTCAGTTCTTTTCCTGCTTTTTTCTGTTGTATGCTATCTATCATCATTCCATGAGTAATGTAAGCAAGAGTACATTTACCATATGGTATTGCTCTACAATATCTTGTTTCACTCTGTCCAACCTTATTATTGTAAGTCAATCTTTCTAATCCCATTAGGGTTATCAGTTACCAGAAAACACCTTTGGTATGTATTGTAACTAGTTCCAGGAAATCGAGATTACACCATATTTAATCCTATAGGCTGCATGAATCAAAATAAAATTTGGTAGTGTGTCATTTAATCAGATCCAGCATAATTGTGCAAGTTTTATCAAGCCTGCTGACATGTACTGTACATCATTAGCAATGATGACAACTTATGCCATCTTCAAAGAAAAACAAAACAAAAACATCCTAGAAAAAGCCTGGTTGAGAAAGTTAATAAGAACAAAGAATCAGAATCCTGAGAATGGCTTTTCATATGAATCTCCCAAACTAATAATTACATCCACCAGTAAATAGATGCACATATTTGGGGAAGGGGAGTCACTCCATTTTAATAATATAAAGATTGTTTAGGCATTTAAGTGCTGTTCACTGCCCAGAATCACTTTCTTGTGAAATGGATGGCTATACAAATATGGCAGATAGATAGATAGATAGATAGATAGATAGATAGATAGATAGATAGATAGATAGATAGATAGATAGATAGAATGAATCAATCAATCAATCTAGCAATCTTGTTTTTTATCAGCATCTCTGTTTATTACTTTGCTTTCTTTTCCAAGGATCAAAGTTTCTCCAGTGATGTTTGCCTTGGCATTATATAACCACATTTTTATTGATTTTATTTATTTTTGTTATAGCATAAAATAAAATGAAAATAAAGTTTAATGAAAAAAAGTACAGATTTTTCCAAAAAAAAAAGAAAAGAAAAAAAGCATTGACTTCCCCTTTGCAACTACTTTCTCTTTGCAACTACTAAATACTAATACAGCTAACATGACCACAGCTTTTTACATTGCCCATAATTATTACAAACCAGTTATTTACAAAATTCAATAAATATTCAATCTAAGTTCTGAATTTCATTTTTTTTTTCGATCTCAAGCACAAAACCAGCAGTAATATCCCAATAGAAACAAGACCAAATAAAATCTCTGTGTTTAAAACAATTTACACCATTTTTTTCCTTTCTTCTCTGTTGTTACAATTATTAATTTTTCTAAACGAACATCATTAATATTAAATAAAATCACTATACTCTTTCAAATATTTTTAATCTTAAAGGGGAAACTTTTTATATTCATTTTAAAACTCTAAACATTTCTTTTAAAATTTATCTTTATAACTAAAATAATTAATTCTAATTAATTTTAAACTTTTAATGAACATAGTTTCAAATTCACTTTCAATAATATTTTGCAAACTTAGGAATTATTCAATATGAAAAAGAAAAAGTATATGAAAAGAAAAAAGAAAAGAAAAGAAAAGAAACAACCAGTTTCACATTCAGTTTATAAGCACAAAATAATGGAACTTTCAATTACACATGTCAAACCAATAGAAAAGCCATTCTAAACATTAAATTTCAGTCGCTCCCTCCAGTTTGTAGTCATAAAATAAAATGCTTTCCTTCTTTGGAATGCCTATTAAATATAAACTTCTCTGTTTCTCAAAAGATTCTCCAATATGATTTTTTAAAACAAATGTCAATATTATCAATTTCCATTTTGATTTTAAAGTTCGAATCCCAAACTTGTTCACTTGAGGATTATTGATTTACTTGCAACTCTTCTTTCAATTACACTCTGGAACTTGTAATTAAATCTTTATAATAGACACAGTTGGTATCAGGTTTATATTCCAAAATTAGAGTTAAATCCTTTGCATTGTGAAATACTTGTGCAATCACTGTAGTGGCTTGATAATGTTCTGCACTTGATTGTATCTCTGGATTATTCTTCTTTCTTCCAATTACTAAAGTAATTTGTTCCTCTTGCTCCTCTTTCATGACATCTTTGGAACATAGTTGATCTATAAAATGAATTGTTTTGTTTAAATAATTTCTGCAATTTCTGTCTGGGTTAAATGCATTCTGTGTTGTTTCTGTTCTTTAGCTCCCTCTTGTGGTCAAAGAAATGTCTTTTTAAAAAAGCTTTGTAGATCAGCTGGTATCTCCTGGTCATCCATTAAAGTCAGAAGATTTCAGGTTTTTGTTTTGTTTTTTGCTCTACTTTTATTTTATTTTACTTTACTTTTACTTTAGGGGCTAGGATTAGGGCTATGGTTATAACTCCCAACATCAAATAAAGGTAGCAAATTCATGAAAATGAGGAAATAAGGAAATAATACCACAACTTTTAAAATCATATGCTTATGTTAACTCACCCTCCAGCAACCCTCTTCTTTATTTTTCAACAAGAACAATGTCCTAAATGGCATAGATCTTCAAAAAGGAGCAACAGTCTAAGATAAGCTGTTTAAATTTATTAAATATAAAAATAAAAAAAAATGCTTAAGAAGTAAAAGGCATGCGTTATTGTCCATTTTACTTTACTTTACTTTTACTTTTATTTGATTTGTATACCGCCCTACTCCCGAAGGACTCAGGGCGGTGAACAGCCAACAATAAAATACATACATACAAAATTTAAAAAGCAGAAATAAAATAGAATTAAATAGTTTGGCCCAGACAGATTAAAACCCCAATCAATTTAAAACCAATTTAGACTTTAAGTATTAAAGATATTAAAAATGTTAAAATATTACAATTGTTTAAAAGAGGGAGAAAATTAGGCCAGGCCCGCCTGATGAAATAAAAAGGTCTTTAGAGCGTGGCAGAAGGTGCGCAGATCCGGGATCCTCCATATCTCCGTGGGGAGCTCGTTCCAGATAGTAGGTGCCCCCACAGAGAAGGCTCTACCCCTGGGGGCCGCCAGTCGACACTGTTTGGCCGACGGCACCCGGAGGAGCCCCTCTCTATGAGAGCGTACCGGCCGGTAGGAGGCTATTGGTGGTAGTGGGCGGTCCCGCAAGTATCTATTTGAAAAATAGATTCCAAAATGTCTGCTTTTTCAACAATGAAGTGATTGTAGCCCTGGTTGCCAGTTTATGGATGATTCACCTAGCTACTTGGGAGTGCTGCTTAGGAGTCTCCTTGCAAACTGCTGCAGTATGGAGCTTTTGTGGGGTGATTCTAGAACTCTCCCTAACCCAACAGAGTCATAAAACTTAAGAAATTCAAAGTTCAACATTTTTAAATTGAAAAAGCTTCAATTTAGAAAGAGATTTCTGCTCTGGACAATCATTTGTTTTCACTAGAAGTCTCACCCCACATTTTAAAACTTTAGTTTCTATAATGAATGTAGAATAGTTTAGAGCAGACTTGGGCATTTTACAGCCTATGGGCCACATCCAGATTGTGATTTCTCCCCGTCTGGACTGTAGCACGAGACAGTGGCAACTGGGTATGGGATGTCATTGGTGGCAGGGAATTGGACATAATCATCAAGGCGTGGGACATCAGTCACAGGGAGTGGGTGTCAGCAGGGAATTAGCATCAGCAGTCCTCTACAACACTCCCAATTTCTCATGTGGCCCCAATTTCTCATGTGGCCCACCCCTGATTTAGAGAAAGATATTGAAGAGAACATCAGATGCAACGAATATGACAACGTTTCTCAATACCTAAAGCAGGAGTGGGCAAATGTGACCCTTTTACAACCTGTGAACTTCAACTCCCAGAATTCCTGAGACAGCTTGACTGTCTCAGGAATTCTGGGAGTTGAAATCCAAGGTTGTAAAAGGGCCACATTTGCCCACCCCTGACCTAAAGGGATGTCATATAAAGGAACAATACCTGTTTCCAATTATCCAATTATTCCAATTATCAATACCTGTTTCCAATTATCCAGGAGCATAGGACATGGACGTAACTTACAAGAAGGAATATACCTCTTGAATATTAGGAATAAAAATAGTGATTGCAAGAGAAGTGTTGATCTCCTTTTCTGGGAACACATTTAAGCAGAAGCAAGACAGTCATTTTATAGGGAGGCTTATTTTGGATTCTGTTACTTAGCAAGGGAATTAGACTTTATGGTTTTAATGAGTCTTTCCAAATCTGTGATCTGATTATTCCAAGCTATTAGCTCATACCTATTTAAACAACTATCCTAGAAACTGATGTGGGAAGGGATCATTCAGAATACTTCCCTATAGTGGATTTTGTATTTTCTTTTAAAAATCAGGAGCGGAATTCATGTTTCTTATTAGCTGAGTAATAGAAAGAATTTTAGAACTGTTATAGCTCAATAGTCTTTTAATGTCTATGTGTCATAACTAAGTTATCTTGGATTATTGAACACTCTTTTCCTAGATACACAGGTGAACAACACATGACCTTCTGGAACAGACTGAATTACAGCTAACATATCCTTCATCATGTTAGCTCTGCTTTCTAGATTGCAGTTTAGTAGTGTTTGAAGTTAATCATCAACATAACGGCTCTTGAAAAAGATGACAGTGCTATCTTTTCACTGACCTTTTGCGGCAAAAATGTGATTGAGGTCAATGGAATTGAAAAAGTCCAGTGATAATCTTTTACCACGGCTCAACACTATCTGCCTCTATAAAGGATATCCATCACCCCTTCCACCCCAATATTACCTGGGTTTCTTTCAAATTTGAATGACAGGGCAGGGAGGGGTAAAAATTGGATGAAGTTGAAAAATCAGATTAATAATCTGTAAGCATCCAGGGAATACTCTTTTTGAAGTCTTGTCAGGTGTCATGGTGGAAATAAATTACTGTATAGATTATAGATCAATGATAATGCACCTTTTCTTTTAAAACTGGTAACAAATATACTGGGAGTTGAAAGTTGATGATGGGCCAGGAAAATAAGCTGAGATAAGATTCCAATAACTGGCCAATAGTTACTGCTAAGAAATGTTGTTCTCTGAATTGATATGGTCTACTGAAGTTATTTTGCTACGTCAAGTAGCATTTCTTTCCAATCTGTCATAAGGAAACATAAATAACTTACGATTTGATATCCCAAATATTTTATCTGGCCATATATTTGGGGTGTAAAATCATAAGCCATTTTACTATGCCCGCTGCTGGGACTGTGCCTACAAATAGATTGCATATTAATTTGAACATATTCTAGAGAATGACCTATCAGATATTGGATAGACTAAAATTAAAATTGATAAATGAACAAATAATTGTCTAATTCATTTTGCGTTCATTTTCTCTAAGTTCAGGAGTATTCACATATTCTCTTCAACTGTCCATGCTTCACTGATGAAAACAGGTTTGCATATTTTTAGATTATGTATGTTGGGACAGATAAGTACAGGCATTTATGCATGAAAGGAAGAGTATGTTTCAAATGTGTCTGCTGTTAATTGCCATTTGTGCAAAGATAACACTAAATATATAAATAAAACATCCAAATGAAATTGCCAGTGATCTTGGATCATATGGAGGCCTGGGGGAAGGGCCTAGTAACGAAAAATCAGATTTCTAATATTCTACAATCCAGTTGTTTTAATATCTGGAAATTTAAAAAAATATATCTTCAAAAATTGGTTACATTAAGCAGTTGCCTTATTCTTGTGCCCCCCCTAGTGTTCATTTATAGGTTTCTTTGTCTAATCATCTTGATAGATCATAATAGCATGAGCTAAGAAAAATAAAAATGACTTTTCCTTTTAATCATTTTCAACACAAGATAGACTCATTTGCATTTAGTGCTCTACTCTATATATTTCCAAATCAACAAAATCTTGTAATGAAATAGTGGGGCTTTTTTCTAAAAGCTGAAAATAAAACAGAAGGAAAGTGTAACCTGATTCCAATGATTTTTTTCACTTAAATACGGGTGGATCTCGCTCAATAACCAATTGTTCAGCAACCATCTGAACTTGCAACAGTGCTGAACAATTGAGTGATACTTATGACCAATCCTTGGAATTCCAACCATTGCAGCATCATTGAAGTCATGTGATCATAATCAGTGCACCTGGCTCCTGGGTTGAGTTGTGACATTGCAGTGTCCCATGGTCACATAATTTACAACCTCCTTTGCCAGCTTCTGACAAGCAAAATCATTGGGGAAGATGGCAGGAGACTGCAAATGGAAATTATATGATGTCCTCGCTTAACAACCTAGTAATTTGCTTAACAACACAACCCAGAAGGCCAGAACTGCTACTGCTAAAAGGAACAGGTACATGATGTTATGCTTTATGACTGTGTCACTAAGCAACAGCAATTCTAGTCCCAATTGCTGTCATTAACTGAGGACCACCTGTAAATAAAACAACAAGCATCAGCAGTATTGCAATAAGGTAACAATTAGCAACATTTTGCAACCCTTCAGCACTCCTTGATCATGCTACTGGATTTTGATGGCACAATTTGGCCTTTGTGAAAAAGTTGGGGGGGCTTAGAAGCTAGAACATGGGAGTGGTTAGGCTTGTACAGCTTTCATATTATAAATACATCCATAAGAATGGGTACAATGAGACATGGAAGAGAAGTCAAATCCAATGAGAAGTCACATAGGCAAGTCCATAGATCAGCCAGTTTAGGATTAGAGTTTAATGACCAAGATTCATAGGAATGACATACCACAGCAGGAAATCAGATGGTTATTTCCAGTGAAAGAACATGGGTCAAAGCAGCCTCTTAAATCATGCTAAAGCCAGCTGTTTTTAGTCAAGAGATCTAGTCTCTTGCTTGGCAAAGAGCCTCATAGAATATCTTTGCTTTGCTCTTCCTTTTATTCCTATTTATTGATGTTGTCATCATCCGACTACTCCTGCAATTGACTAGCCTGAGGTGATTTGTGTCTCCTGAAGATGATGGATTCTGCTGGAGCAGCTTTTACAAAATCAGATTCAGAATCTGAGTCTTGGATCACATACTAGTAGAATTTCCACTACGTCTGGTTGCCATCAGAGGAAAGATCCACTACTGAGCAACATTCATATATATGAAATTAGGGTCCAGGCCAAGAAAAT